CCGACTGGTTTATGAATGTTATAATTCTTGACGTCTGATTTGTGTCCATTTATTCTTTTACGTAGAGACTGTCCAGTTTGGCCAATGTACATGGCAGAGGGGCATTGCTGGCACATGATGGCATATATCACATTGGTAGGTGCACAGGTTAACGAGCCTCTGATAGTGTGGCTGATGTGATTAGGCCCTATGATGGTGTCCCCTGAATAGATATGTGGACACAGTTGTCAATGGGCTTTGTTGCAAGGATAGGTTCCTGGGTTAGTGGTTCTGTTGTGTGGTGTGTGGTTGCTGGTGAGTATTTGCTTCAGGTTGGGGGGCTGTCTGTAGGCAAGGACTGGCCTGTCTCCCAAGATCTGTGAGTGTGATGTGTCATCCTTCAGGATATGTTGTAGATCCTTGATGATGCATTGGAGAAGTTTTAGTTGGGGGCTGAAGGTCATGGCTAGTGGCGTTCTGTTATTTTCTTTGCTGGGCCTGTCCTGTAGTATGGTAACTTCTGGGTACTCTTCTGGCTCTGCCAATCTGTTTCTTCACTTCAGCGGGTGGGTATTGTAGTTGTAAGAACACTTGATAGAGATCTTGTAGGTGTTTGTCTCTGAGGGGTTGGAGCAAATGCAGTTGTATCGTAGAGATTGGCTGTAGACAATGGATCGTGTGGTGTGGTCTGGGTGAAAGCTGGAGGCATGTAGGTAAGCATAGCGGTCAACAGGTTTCCGGTATAGGGTGGTCTTTATGTGACCATCGCTTATTAGCACCATAGTGTCCAGGAAGTGGATCTCTTGTGTGGACTGGTCCAGGCTGAGGTTGATGGTGGGATGGAAATTGTTGAAATCATGGTGGAATTCCTCAAAGGCTTCTTTTCCATGGGTCCAAATGATGAAGATGTCATCAATGTAGCGCAAGTAGAGTAAGGGCATTAGGGGACGAGAGCTGAGGAAGCGTTGTTCTAAGTCAGCCATAAAAATGTTGGCATACTGTGGGGCCATGCAGGTACCCATAGCAGTGCCGCTGATTTGAAGGTATACATTGTCCCCAAATGTGAAATAGTTATGAGTGAGGACAAAGACTTACTTTCCAGTTGATCTTTAATTGTCATCATAAATTCCATCAAAGATTTTGCAAGGACTTTGTTTGGGCCAGCAGGGAAAAGAAAACATGTTAAAAAGCTTGTTGTTTCCTATAGTAAACAGTACTTATATAACAGTTAAAATTATATATGAGCTGATCCTTTATGAAAAGTTATTTTTAGAACCTACTAAGGGGATGTTCAGAATGAAAAGTCTGATATCTTGATCAGGTATCTAGTTATAAACCAAACTTTACACATCTCCAGGTAATTAGCAAATTCGTTGGTGAATATTCTGTAGGGCTACCTAGGTTCCTGAACTGAAACCATTTTACCAACTGACTTCTTAAAATGTACAAGAATAATTCCCATGGACTACCATGGGAGTTGCTTCTCTAAAATATTTGTGTATATTTATCCCAAAGTACTTATTTATCCAAATTATTGTAACTAATCACTACAGCTTTCCTGGCAGATATGTAAAATCTACATGCCAAATTGTTTTTGCCTTACTCACATGAATCCTGCTGAAGTAGGGTGACCAGATGTCCCAATATTATAGGGACAGTCTCGATATTCAGACCTTTGTCTTACATAGGCGCCTACTACTCCCCATCCCCTGTCCTGACTTTTCACACTTGCTATTTGGTCACCCTACGCTGAAGTCACAGGAGTACTTGCAAAATAGTGAACAGAATCCCAGCATGTGAGAAGAAGCCTGTGACACAGGGAAAAGAAAATAGACACATTAATCCTTTCTGGGTCTTTAAAAAAGGCTTCTCAACACATACACCCATTTAATTTATGTTGTCTCATTAGACAATTGTCATCTATTGCTGTGTACCCAACAAAATGTCACCCAGCTTCTATATCACTTTATCTTTTTATTGCCAAGGAAAAAAACCTGTGCTTCTAAAAGCAAAAGAACCCCAAATCTGATTTTCCACGTTTTTTTCCTCCCCATGAATGACAAGTGTATTGTTTGTATACTAAAATTCTTTTAAAAATGAATTTTTCAGTGAGCGTTTAAGAACAATATAAATAAATCTGAAAGGACTAGAATTGCAGTAGTAGGTTATTAGGCTGATTCATGGAAGGATTCTGTACTAACTAGCCTCGTAACAGCCTCTCTACTTCCCTTTTCCCTGTTTACAACAATACCTCTGTATTAACGAATATGGTTTTGCTATTTTCAGGGTATCAGGGTGCCTTAAATGCTGGGGGCTGGATTTTCAAAAAGTTCTCAGCATTGGCCTAACTCTGTTTCCATCAAATTTTTACCTTTGGCTTCAGTGAGAGCAGATTTAGGCCACTGCTGCTGAGCACATTTTGAAAAACCCACCTTGGGATTTCACTGAAATCACAGTCACATTGAGAATCCACTGGTAACTTGGAGGTGTTTAGTAGCATGCAGGACAAAAAGCCTTCTCTTGTTTTGCGAAGGGGTTATATTTTGTTGTCTCTGTAGTTTTCTGAATTGTTTCATACAAAGTGAAGGACATGTACATGACGTATGATAGACTTTACCGCACAGAAGTCAATTGTGCCTTATAGGTTCAGACCTGATGCACTGTGTCTCTGAATGCTTCCCCAGGAGAACATACTTCTTGCTACACCCCTTAAGGGTTGCCTTCTGTATTCCCCTGAATACCTGGCCAGCTCTACTGGTTGATGTAGGGCCATGGCCTTGCCTCTGCCCCTCCCTGACCTCTTGGGGGAGCAAGTACCCACAGGGTCCCAGGAGGTAACCATCTCTATGACTATGGGAGTATGGGGACTGCAAGTGGTGACTAACCACTATACAAAGATCACAAAGGGTGGGCAGGCTTCTTGCATCTTCCCCTGTCTTGCACACTCATGCACCAGCAGGGCACAATCTGTCCAAAAATAAATCACAAGCCTAAAATATTTGTATTAAAAATAATGATCTCTTCCGTAGGAGTCACATTCTTAACCCAGTATGTTCTGTCAAGTGTAGTGAATCATATAGAACAACACAGTGCTGATAGTAATAAATTAAGCTTTCACTTAGTGATTACTGAGGTAAATCCTGCTTGCTTTACTCTCAAGAGTAGCTGCCCTAGTCACTATCTCTGTGGAATACTCCTCAGGCAGAGTGCTTCACAAACATCCATGCTGCTGTCTCTATGAATTGATCCCATAGGGAACCCAGGGTTCTTGCTCGACATACAACTTTTGAAAGAACTTGCCATTCAGTTGATAGATAATTAACCCCAATCACTAAAAATACTCTTGATATCAATATACCCAGGTGCTAAGAAAAACTGGTGCATCATTAATGCTACACAGATTTTTGACAGCCCTTCCCAGCCGAGGCCTCGAATAAGCAAGGTACTTAAGCGCGTTCCTAACTATAAGCATGCAAATTGCCCCACTGATGTCAACGGGATAAGTTATGTGCCTGGAGTTAGGCATGTACTTACATATAATTATATGGTAAAAATGAGAAAGTAACCAATTTTTCGGTAATAGTGTGCTGTAACACTTTTGTATTTTTATGTCTGATTTTGTAAGCAAGTAGTTTTTAAGTGAGGTGAAACTTAGGGGTACACAAGACAAATCAGACTCCTGAAAGGGGCACAGTAGTCTGGAAAGGTTGAGAGTCACTGATATAGCAGGTCAGATTAGATGATCACAGTGGTCCCTTCTGGCCTTGAAATCTATTAATCTATTATGCAAGCTCTTTGTCATATTGAGCAAATGGTTAGTGTAAAGTCATTGATAATATTGGCTCAGGCATGCATACAGACAGTATATGTGTAGAAGAATGGTACAAAAATTATTATGGCTCAGAACTCCTCTTAAGAGAGCAGACATAGTAGGGGGAAGAAACTGCATTGATTCTGGCTCTAGAAGAGTTCAAAAACTGAACTGGAACATTTCAGAAAATAATTCCTCTCTTATTTGATCAGCTTGACAAAACAATATCTGAAATAAAATATCTGGATGTGATTTATTTTTCTTTTTGTGGAAAAAGAGAGAGAGAGGAAAGAGCATGAAAGCTAGAATGGAAAGGTAATTTAAATGGAAGTGGAAACCTCTGTGCTAGCCAAAATGTGATAGATTAATTTTCATGTTTAAAACCAGGAAGCTTCCTGATAGTCAAAAGTGACAATTTAAAAAACAGGATAAGTGTGCAAGAATGATTCACATCCCTAAGGCTACAGAGAACAATGAAAGGATGGAGTATTTTCCTGTGTTGTGCTAAAGAAATTTTCAATCTACAAAATAAAAATGCTCTTAGGAGTTCTGATACAGAAACTGAGAGCTCCAGCTGTTACACTCAGATCCAGAATGACCAGGTTAAACTAGGATGTTGCAAATTTTCTGGAGAATGGCTGGGGACATTTTGATCTTGATAACTTTACAGATGTGCAAAATTTCCAGACATTTTAGTAAAGCAAATTCAGTTGATTAGGACTAAGCTTCCTAACACATTCAGATTAAGTGAAGCTGTTTATGCCTAATGGGACGAAGCACCTCCAAACAATTGAGGATAAAAATGTCCCTCTTGGCCAGCAAGATTTGGGTAGGTAACCTAGTAGGTAGGTCTGGGTGAGTGGGGACACAATGGGTCCTGCAGAGTTTAGATGCTGGGCCATAGACCTTCCCGCTGTCTTGAGGAAGAAGTAGCATCTGTGGAGCAGCTCCATCCATGGCAGCTGGTAGGGAAAGGTTCCAGTTTTTTTAAGCAGGATGCTGCATTGTTCTTCCTTACGAGAAGAAGCAAGACTCTGCTGTTAAGTTTTATAAAAGGGATTCTATATTATGGTCATTGGACATAGACAGGACCCTGTAGATCACTAGGTCCCAGAGCAGTTGGTTTTATTTTATTTTATTTATGGAAAAAAGGCTATAGTTGGTTCCTGCATAAGCCATATGTAAATTAGTGTACAATTTCATTTTGCAGCATGAAGCCAGATGATCAATTCTGGACACTCTCGAGCATAGGAGGAGTGTTGTAAGCAAGACGCAAGAAGTGGGATTTGGAAGCCTAAATGGAAAATGTAGAGTGATTAATGTTATAACTATGGAATGCTGTTTAAATGTTATTTTACTGGCTGACCATTTCATGTAATCTGTTCTGATTAAAACCAGACTAATATATTTGTGTTATACTTATTTATCAGTATTTATTTATGTATTTATTTATTTGGGTTGATGGTAGCACTCATCATGAGTTAGGTGCTCTCCAGTCATTCCAAAAGGACCGTCCCTGCCCTGAGGTGCCCAACTTTAAGGATTTACAATTACCGGTATTTGTTTAATTGGAATGTATGGACTGGACTTGCTGTGCCAAATGTATCCCTTCAGGTTCACAGGGATTAATTGGACCTACTAATCAGATTGATACAATTCATTTGGGCCTTCCTGATTTCTTTGTTGCCTTAGAGCTGCAGTTTAGGCATTGACCTGTGTCTGTAGGTCAGTGGTCCCCAGGGGCTTGGAAGAACATTTGTGGGGCCCGGCGGTTTAAAATAGCTGGGTTTCTTCCTGACTGAGGGAAAGAAAAAGATGGAAGCCAGATTTTGCATTCAGTTTTCTCACTACTGCTGCTGCTCAGTATTTTATATTTGTTATAATTTTTCTCCTCCCACCATAGGCGCAGGAAGTAGGGATGTGGGGAGGAGGTGCTGCAGCACCCCCAGGTTTTGCGCAGGGTCCCAGCTCCTGCCCCCGCGCCTGGAGTCCTGGCTGCTGCCCCTCGCCCAGGGGTTATGCAGCTGGTCCTGGCTTCTGGCCCCACGCCTGGGGGCTCTGCTGCCAGCCCCTCACCTGGCTGCCAGCCCCACATCCAGGGGCTATGCTGTTGGTCCTGGCTGCTGGCCCCACACCCAGGAGCTCTACTGCTAGCCCCGCACCTGGCTGCCGGCCCCATGCCCTGGGTCCAGGCTGCCAACTCCGTGGCCGGGGCTCCGCTCCTGACCCCGGGCCGGGGCTCCATACCTGCCCACAGCTGTGGTCCCACCCTTGGCCGCCTTACCCCTGTTCACGTTCCCCCCTCCCAGAGCCATGGCCCTGCTCCCGGTCCCAGCTCTAGGGGGTGGTGAGGAGCACGGACAAGGATAAGGGGGGCGCAGGTCAGACCCCCCCGCTTCAAACTGTTCTAGCTCCCACTTCCTCTTCTATCCCAACATTCTTTCTACCCGTTCTCCCTCCCATCTCACACAAAGGTTTTCAGATGGCCACTGGAGCATTCCCGCTGCACCTTTTCATCTAAATATTTAGATCACAAAGACCAGCAAACTGAACTCACTGGTTTTATTCACAAAAATATTCTGAAATTAATTTTTGTCGTATCCTCTCAGCTCTAGTGCTAATAGTACTGTCTTGTTAAATGAAGGGAATGTTCTATTAATATGCCTATTAGTATGCACCAACCAAATTTACAAACTAATCCCACTAGAAAATACCTTTCAAATGTTGCAAAAGAGGTTTTTTAAAAAAAATATTAATTTTAATGATTAATGATTTCTGTGACGAGCAGTACTTGAAAAGGACAAACTGATTGTCATTTAAAATTACTATGCTGTAACTGTATTCAGTGAATGTTTGCATGGGTTAACTAAATTCATCATTTTCCCTACAGCAATTTTTTTCCTGAATCCTATATATTTTAGCCATGACTTTAATCCAGTTCTCATTGTATATCAATCTGTGGCTACCGTCTTGTGGAAAGTATGCAAGATGTATCCCGAAAAATACAAATCTCTTTGACAATAATCTTTTGCATGCTGTTCTAAAACCTTTTTTAAAAGTCAGTCTCTTAACTATTCAATCTTTATATATTAGTTTTAAGTTTTTCTTTTTAAATCTGCTAACAACCAGAATATTCCAGTCATTTGGTTTATAATGTGTAATATTTAAAGAACCTAAAGTAAATTTCAGAGGAAGTGAGAGTTTCTTGTTTTCTGAGTAAATTATGGTAATATGTGAATTGTTATTAGCTGAAATCAGACTGACTAAACAGTTTTTAGGATTCTTTATTTTTTTTTCACTTTAGCAGTATTACTCTAGTTTTATTTTGCCCTGGAAGTTGTATTTACAACAAATCTATAAGAAAATAAAATGAATTGGCAACTGCTGAGGATAAGCTACAGCACATGGCATCAAATGTTTGTAGTTTGTAACACATCTGTGGCAAGAGTTTGCTGATGCCTGTGCTATACTACTGATATTTGGATACATGAAGGTTTTTTGAAATTTAATAAACTTAAAAGTAGTTTATAACATCACAAGAAAATAGTTGCAAACATTTTTTCATTTCAACTGTTGAATTAGTTTTGTATTCCAGACATGACTCTGCATTAGAGTCTCCTACAAAACAAAAAGAAAAGGAGTACTTGTGGCACCTTAGAGACTAACCAATTTATTTGAGCATGAGCTTTCGTGAGCTACAGCTCACTTCATCAGATGCATACCGTGGAAACTGCAGCAGACTTTATATATACACAGAGAATATGAAACAATACCTCCTCCCACCCCACTGTCCTGCTGGTCCAGGAGGACAGTGGGGTGGGAGGAGGTATTGTTTCATATTCTCTGTGTATATATAAAGTCTGCTGCAGTTTCCACGGTATGCATCTGATGAAGTGAGCTGTAGCTCACGAAAGCTCATGCTCAAATAAATTGGTTAGTCTCTAAGGTGCCACAAGTACTCCTTTTCTTTTTGCAAATACAGACTAACACGGCTGTTCCTCTGAATCCTACAAAACAAGCTTTCAAAACCAACCTTGAAAATGTGCATGTAACTGTCTTTATGTTACAAGTTGGAGAACAGGCTCTGCCTGCGATTGTCTCAGAGAATAAGATTTATTTATTTGTGTAGTTAAAATTCCTAGTACTTATATTATTTAGGGAATAAGATAAAAATGAAGATAACTATCATAATTCTGTGTAGCAAGTGTGTGTTGAATGGGTAAGTAATTCAGGTTTGAAAGGGTGATTTCGTTCATTGTATAGCTTCCTTTAAAAAAATTCCAAAACAAATGAGCAAGGATAGAAATACTGTCACTTAGGGCAGCCAACCAAATTAGAGGCAAAGAAAGGATGAGGATAAAAAGAAAAGTCCTGTCCCCTTCTTCTGAATCTCAAGCATGAAGAGAGAATGAAGTCCCAGTCGCCAGAACCATTAGAAGAGGTTAGCTCATAATTCCTACCTGCAGAAACAACTCTAAAACATGTAAATAACTATTTAAACATTGTGGGGATTGGAAAGGCTTTTACTAATAAAAATATCCTTAATACTAAAGGAAGGAATCAAGTCTCCTACACTGGATTGCCAAATAAATTGTCCACAAATTATATCCCTTTACAGTAAAACTAAGCAGAATAGGAAAATAGTAGAGCAGTGTGACATGTTCAATATCTCTTTCACTGTGTCTTGTATTATTTATGGGATATATGTGTTGACAACAAAGCCATGAGAGTTCATTCTTGTATATGTCAACACAGTGATAAGAAGTGGTGGAAATGTCATCAGAGCTGTTCATAAGGCTAAGGTATTTTTTGTCATGACTGAGCAATACCTGTAGCATGAAGACTAAAACGTTAATGTAATGCTTTACAATTCTCCACTGTTATATAGATAAAACCAATTTATACAGTGCGATGGGGTGTGCCAGGCCCTTTGAGGCCCTTGCTGGAGGCCTTGCGGTCCTACCCCACCCCACCCCAGAAAAGGAACAGTGAAGATGGGTCCTCCAGGCCTGCCTAGCAAGGCTTCAAGGAAGTAGCCAATTAGAGCTCAGCTGGCTCAGTTAAAAGGAGCTGCAGGGGCTGAGAAGGTCAGTTCCTGGCAGGGACCAGAGGAGTGAGAAAGGGTGCTCCCTGTTTGGTGACTAGAGCTCAAGGGAGAACCAGAAGATGGTGAGACCTTCAGCCCTGAGGTAAGGGTGTAGTAGAAGATGCTATATGGGAAGTGGCCCAGAGAATAGCAGCAGCAACTATTACAGGAAGCAGCATGTGGTTGCTATTTATAGGGTCTCTTCTCCCCTTCCCTCCCCCCCACAGAGTGGCCTAAGCCCCACAAAGGGGATAAGGCCTTTTTAGAGTCCCAAGTGAAGGGCAGAACTTAAGAGTCTCCAGGGAGAAAGCCCTGGGGGCACCACTCTATACCAGGGCAGACACAGACTTAAAGCTAGCTCAGAAGGGGCTGAGGACTGAGCGCAGAGACAGGGCTAAAGACTTTAACAAGGGCACAGGGAAAGGCCCTGTTGGACCTTTTACCCCAGGGGGTTTCTTCATTCACAAATTGACTGCAAGTGACTTGGTTGGAGGGCTGAGCCACTGAAGACCCACCTGATGAGGGCAGCAGTTGACAGGGGGCACCATGAACAGAGAGAGAGAGAAAGAAAGAGTGCATGAAGGGGGGGATTTCCAGTTTCCATCTATTCAGACATTGGTTCTTATTATGCCTTTCTCTGCTAGATTAAAGAACCCTTAGTACCCGACTAAGTTCCCTTTAAGCTGTGTGGCCGCATATCAAGGGCCACGCAGGTGCTCAGGGCTGCAGCGGGGAGAGGCACCTCTCCCCCTGCCCTGGACCTGCCGGAGCAGGGAGAGACGCCTCTCACCTGGCCCCAGCCTCAGACCTTCCATGCCAGGGAGAGATGGGGAGAGCTGCAGCAGCTGGGGTGAGGCGCCTCTCCCCTGGCCCCAGCCCTGGAGCTGCTGCGGGGGGAGAGGGCTGGTGGGGTGTCCTCTCTCCCTGCTGCAGCCCCAGGGCAGCCTGCTCCCCAAACCCCTCATCCATAGCCCCACCCCAGATCCCACTTCACCAGGTGGAGCTCTCACCTCCCCTGCATCCCAACCCTCTGCCCCAGCCTTGAGTCCCCTCCCGCACCCTGAACCCCTCATCCCTGGCTCCACCCCAGAGCCCCCACCCCCAGCTGGAGCCCTTACCCCCCACAACCCAACCCTCTGCCCCAGCCCTAAGCCCCATCCTACACTCTGAACCCCTTGTCCCCGCCCCCACCACACATCACCTCCATATTGGTGCACATAGCAAAATTCATTCCGCGTATGCTGTAATAAGATGAGGCCCAGTAAACATAAGCCTTGTATCAGAGGCCCGGTATGAGGCCTGAGGCCCAAACTAAAGTCATGGTCAAGAC